GTCAGACGTAGGGGCTTAGCACACACAAAAAAAATGCATAGCTTGATAATGGAGAAAACCATGCCAGTCTTCAGATGTCAACGGCTGATGATGTGGCTTTTGTGCGTCAAGTTGTAGTTGACTTGAGCCTGCAAGTAGAGGGAGACAGAGAGAGAGCTGTGTGTGTGTGTGTGTGTGTTGCTCCAGCATTACTTTTCAAGAGAGCTTCAATTTCAATGGCGTTTAAGTGTATCGTCGTCGTCTGTCGGCTTCGTCTGTCGTGTGTCGTCTGCGGTTGTTGCAGTTGACACATAAGTGGCCTTTAATGATATCAAACTTCATGCGTTGCTTTCATTGCTATTACAGTAAGCTACTCTCCTTCCTGCTCTCTTTCTCTCTCTCTGTCTGTCTGCTTAGTTTGCATGTCAAACTTTTCCATACAACTGTCATTTCGGTACTTTCATTTGCAGTCTTCATCAACAGATAAAAAGCCCGTAGGAGTTGACGAGGCCAAAGGGATTGAAATATATGTAGGCAGCCTTGCAACATAATATTCAGCTAAATAGGTTCAAGTAGTACTTGCGGTTGATCAAGTGCCTGTGATATAAGTTGGGGTAGCAAAATTATGGTTAATTCAAGTCAAGAGTCAAAGTTTGTTGGTGCAAAGCAATGCCGCATTGAATCATATTTTGTTTTAAACATATTCCTCCATAGCTAATACATTACATTATCCAATCACAAAATCTTTGCCCAGCTGTTTGCCTAAAATTCTACGCATTTCAGCGGCCACAATCTGAAAGTTTCAGTAAATTATTGTGTTAAAACTTTCCATGAATAATCATAACGCAAGTAGTGAAAAAGTATGCTACCATTAAATACCCTGTTAAGAAGAAATTTTAACAACAGCTCGTTATAGAATTATAGTAATCTAAATACTACAGACTCATAATTTATTGGCATTAATGTGCCTTGTATTTTCTGTACCCATATTTGGGCCAAGAAGAGCTATTTTTTTCACTTAAAGACTAAGAATTATTGTTATTCACATTGTCGAAGACGTTATGCGGCTTGTGGCCAGTGGAAAACATCTGGCGGCGGCTCGGGCGGCGACCCTTGTGAATTTGGAAAGTGCTTAGCCATGACAAAACCTTTTTTCCACTTAAAGGCCACTCGGCTAGGACCACCGCCGAGGGATGCTGAAAGTGGGGCTGGCGGAAGGACGTAGCAGTTCGCACCCAAGCCGCATTATTTCCAAACGCCTGGGCAGCAGCTACTTTCAATGGCAGTTTTATGCGTCCAACTCGACTGTTCTTTGCGCGCCTTTTCAATAATGAAAAAATGTACGAGCTTTGAATTTTCAAATGATACAGACGTGGGTGACGTGCGGCAGTGCGGGGATGCTTAGGCGAGTCGGCAGACAACTACAGTCGCAAAGGAAATAAGGCAAAGCAAAGTTTGGAAAGTGGACGTCGAAGTGGAAAAGGCAAATTAAATTATTTCTCATGGAAATGCGGCAACGTCGGCGACAAGCAACGACATCGGCCAAATTGAAAAGCGTTGACGGAAATAAAACTAAAATGTGCTGCGCGTGGAAAATTACAATTAAATTGACTTTACCGACGATGCGATAAAAGTAAATTAGCATAACTTAAAGACTTGGCAATCCAATTGTCGTAAATGTATATGTATATATAATATATACAGCTGTATATTCCATCTTTAATCCACTCTTACCTGCCTGGTTATCCTTATGCCCAGCTCAACTGTCTTTTGTTATTAATGCCACTTGGCAGCTTTGCTCGTCCACTTCAGCTCAAGTGGTCGCTGCACCTGCACCGAGCTACTGCAGATCCCCCCATCCAATGGCCTCTTACCCTTGCCTGATATCATGCGCTACTTGTCGCTGCAGTGCGTCTTACATTTTTGTGAGCATAATAAAGTGCAGCAGTCAACCAGGCTGGCAGACAAGCAGCCCTCGTCGAGGGTTTCGGGCCAGCAACAAAGCGTAAAATGTGAATAGACTCCATGACTGTAGCTGGACTATGAAAAAAGTTCAAGTCGGGGGCGTGTCGGGCATGCAAAAAACAAAAAACCAAAAACAAAAGCACCAAGCGTGTCCTGACTGGATAATTGAAAGCAACTTTGCGACTTTGCCCGCATGAAATTGGCTACATTCTTTTTTTCTGTTTGTTATTTGTTACTTTTGTTCTTGTTGCTACTCCTGCTGCTGTTGTTGTTGTTACCATTGTCTTTGGTGCAAGTAGTTGCTCCACCCGGAAATTGAAATGTCAAGTGTGCTGCCATGTATGAGAAAACGGAGCAAGAAAATTCAGGTATGGGTCAACATTCGTGCCGAACTGACGCCGGTATTAATGCGCTTAATTGTCAAAAAGAAAAAAAAAAATTATTATTCGTGAGAGAAAACCTTTAACCGATTCACCTTATGCCAATAAAGTGCCCATAGTGCCATCAGGCAATGATCCAGCCTACTCGTCGCTCTTCCTGACGTCTCTCGGTTAACTGCTGTTTGCTTAATGGAAAATACGTGCTTCTACATAATTGGATTTTTTGATTTCGCTCGCATTCCGGCAGTTAAAAACCACGGAGTGTCAATGGATGATGTAAAATGTTTTCCAATGGCTCCACAAATTGCTTTCAATGTCAGTTACCAAAAAGTCACCTGGATAGATAAAATAATAAAACAAAACATTTCTGATAATTAAAATCGGTTTTTGCAGTTAAGACTATTAGCGTTAATTTATTTATTTACTAAATAAATACCAATGAAGTAATTTAAAAAAATAAATAGAAAGACAGAGAGCCCAAAAAGCTGAAACTAGCAATTGCTTGACTTACATTCGTTTACTTGTGTCAAAGACAAAAATAAATAGAACATATATAAGACATATAATCTGCAGCAAGATATACACGCTTATTTAAAATTCTTCTTCTTCTTCTTAATCGAAAAAGAAGAAACACTAAAACAAAGGATACAATTTCAAGTATATAAAATATATTTGATGCTGCGATGCGCTCTTTCTTTTCGCACTTATTTCTATTAAATGTCGACAGGACGCATGTTGGTTGAGTTTATTGCAATTTACTGACTCGGCACGTGACAAACGAGCCGCACGTTTCTCTCATTGTACGCGACAAAGACACTGACACACACAGATCACACATACGCAGCGTTGGCCCCTAAAACAGTCGGACATTTATCGTGGCGTTATTTATAGCACACCAGTAGCTCGATGTAGCAACTTTTCCCCCTCAGCTTAATAACAATACATTCATTTCGTCAACCAGCTTTGAATTTCATGAAACTGAAGTTGCTCACATGTAAGCAGCTCAGAATTAATCAGGCCATAGACAGAACAGTACAAATAAATCATCTTGTATATTATAATATGACTCAAGATGTTGGTATTGTCTTACATTTATTACAGATTGACAGTATGTTTATACTATGAACCTATATGCATTGGGTTTGTTTGACAACATCTCGATTTGTTTTGTGTTGCCTGCAACAGTCCAGAATATTATTTCACACGCATGAACAGAACCACAAATCCATATATAAATGTATATATATATATATGATATATGATATATATATACTGATATATATATATACTCAAATCACAGCATATGCATTGTTAGGCATCCTTATTATAAGGTAAATATGGCAGCATGTTTGCTTTTCTGACTCTGTTTTCATTGGTTTCTGCATGTTTGGCATTAAGCAGCGTCTGGAGCATGGACATTGTTGCTGCTTCGTCCTGGCTGTCCATCTACAGCTTCCACATGTAACATGTAACTATACAAATATTGTATTATAGATTGCAGCTAGTAAATGTAAACATCTTTCATACTATTAATGCCTTCAAACCAAAAACTTTTGCAAGCCTTGCGAAATCAATGCTAAGTGTGCATGCAATCGTCATGAAGGGTATAAAGGATATATGTATTAAAAAGCCACCAGCACAAAAATCAGGCTAGTTAGCTACTATAAAAATTGTATAGATTTTTAACTTTACTCTTAGAAAATTTCAATATTTCTATTAAGCAGAAAACCATCGCATGTATTCATATATTCCGCATGGCAAATGTTTTTTTTTGCGTTTCTATCAGGAGTATAGTTTAAAGCAGACAGTAAAGTTTCTATATATGAGTGTGCATATGTGTTCCGGATATCTTTTAAACTTAGAGCGCATTCCTTAACAAATTAAATATAATTCTACCAAGTTCTTTTTTCAGTTATTTCCTTGCTTCTAGTATCTTCCTTTAATGTTCGTTATTTCGCTGAGGATTGATTCAACGGGAAACTTTATTTTGATATTTAGTACATGGCTTTTATTTTCTTTTTTCGACAAGAAAAACTTATATAGGAGATATAACTTTTATAAGAAAATTAATTATATGTTCTCACTTGATCATCGATATTTTTTCGAGAATTGTATCAATAAAGAAAGGACATTTTTTTTATATTTATCTTCTTTAATTTTCATTTTGAATTAATTATATTTGGAGTTGGAAGTTAGAAGCTTAAACTAAAAAATAATAATTTAAAAACATTTCCCAATTAGCTTAGTTAAAATTAATGCGTAGTAACGTTTCGAATTTGATCATTAATTCTAACTTCTTATTAATTATGATAATAAGGCAATTAGCTCGAAATAAAAGAAAAATTTCATGAGTATTTTCAATTGCATTCTTTACGGTAGCCGCATTAAAGGTCGTGACTTTCAAAAATGGTCTCAGAAATCACCCTATTTGTACTTATGTTTGTTTAAGCTAATTGTGAATTCAGTCAAATAAGTGAAATGCTAGGCAAAACACGTTGTCCTGGCTGGCCAGGTTTGTTGGCACTATGCCTGTTAAATGGAGTATTCTTGCCCACATTTGTGTTAGCCAGAAATCAGGAATATTACGATTTTGGATTTGTTCACAATTTAACGAAACATTTGCATGTGCGCCACAAGCTTGAATGCTTTATCACTTTTGCCGCAAATCGCAAGCCGATGAACCCAATATTACCAGATCAGTTTTTTGCCCGCTCACTGGACCGTATACTGGTAGAGGATCTGAACATACCGCATGTCACCTGGGGTCTGCAAAGCAACGTTACTCTAAGAGGCATATTGACTGTCCAGAGTCTGGTCTTTGCTACCATCTACAACTTGTCGCCAGAGCAAGAGCCCATGCTGGAAGTGGTCGACAAAACGTTGGATGGTCGTCATGATCTACGCGTTCTCTTCATCCTCAAAACACGGGAAATGTCGACACCCTTAATAGAGCAGATATATGAATTATTTGTTTGGTGCTGGCAACGGAACTTTATCAATGTTGCCTTGACCTATCAGCGGATCACACTTATCAATGGCAGCTACGATGTGCATGATGAGCTCTTCAGCTATACGCCCTTCCCCAAACTGAGGCTACTTAATGTGACTGGCCTTGGCGCTACTTTTAACTGGGAAGCCCTTGATGTCAGCAATGTACAAGGCTATGAGTTTCGGGTGCCCGTCTTTCAGGATGTGGCTGACGCTTTTGTGGTGAGTGAGCCAAGAGAAATATATTTAAACAGTCTGTCACGGTTTTTGTTCTTGCTTTTATATGGTTACCCCTCAGCTACCCGATGGACAGCTATATGGAGCTTTCGGTATGGTTCTTAGCAGCTACATAATCCATATCAATGGGCGATTGCGTGTGGAGGAAACACCTCATGTCAACAAGGATAACTACCACTATTACACTCTGATGTTGGCGACACGTGGCGTTATCGATATTGGTGTGCATACATATACGCAGATGACACTCAGATCGGAGCAGGTAGAGAACGGCTTAGTAACTTCTTATACGAAAACCTGCCTCATGGTGCCCTGGCAGAAGGAGCAGCCTGTTAACAGATTCGTACGCTTAACTGTTCGTTACAATGGAATATTATTTCTGACGCTGGTTCTGTCATTGACGCTTGGCTGGCACCTGTACGCCCGCGTTGCCAGTAAGGGCTTTTATTTAGCATTGGTCATTTTACAATTGCAGCCGGTGAACGAATGTGTCTTCAGGCGTTTTACTAACGTGTACAAAATCTTGCATGTGGCTTTTCTACTCGGTGCTTTCATACTTTGGAATATGAGGATGGGATTTCTATCGGCGGCGCTAAGCGTGAAGCTCATACCGCCTCAGATAAATAATCTTGAAGATTTCTTGCGATCGCCATTGCGTATCATGGTCACTGAAACTGAAGTCGCAATGTACTTCACACGCGAATTGCTGCCGGCAGCGTTGCAGCCGCGGCTGCTTGTGGTCAATTCGTCCACTTTGATGCACCACCGTGATAGCCTTAATACCAGCTATGCCTACTGCATCACTTCTAGACGTTGGAGGCATGTTGGGTTTCAGCAGGCTCGACTGCGTCGTCCGCTTTTTCGCCGTCTCCGTGCAAATCTCTGCACATCGACTTATTTTAGACATATTCCCATGCAACGGAACTCGCCATTTAGGGACGATTTTTTGCGGTTTTATATTGTCTGCCTTTACACTGGCTTCTACAGGAAATGGGAGAAATTGAGTACTATAAAGGCAGTGAAATTGGGTTTACTTAAGATCTATCAGGATGTGGGGCTGACATATGCAAGCTTAAATCTGAGAAGTTTTGAAGTACTTCTAAAGATTTATGTACTGTGTATTGGAGTCTGTCTCGTGTGCCTTCTATGTGAAATTATCTGGAATTATCGAGTGAATAAGAGAAATATGAACGATAATGATAATAATAAAAAATAATAATAAATGTTTATGCACACAAACACAAATAAATATACTCCTATATAGAGTAAATAATTATTTTACTTTTTTCCGAAATAATTCTTTGTCGCTGTTGTTAGCTTCTCATAAGTCTGGGTTTTAAACAACCAATAATTCTCGAAGAAACGTTGTGATGTGTCTTAATGATTCGTTGGAAAAAAGAATTTTAAGATTTAAATAATGAAAATAACTACCAAGTGTTTTTTTTTATGTTTTGAATTTCATTCATATCAATTATGAATGTTAACACTCTTCATGATGACTTTAAAAATCTTTCATCATGATGGAGAAAGGTAATTAATCGATGGCCTGTAATCGATAACATAATGAGCGATTCCGTTTCCGTCTCAGCATTTGGGTGAATAGAGGACTATAGTCCTAGCGAGATGGCATCTCATATGAAATTGAATACTTTTTTTCGACATCCGGAGTATTGTTGTGGTACAACCACACACAGACACAACCATTCATCTGTGTGGGCAAGAGGCATTTTCAACGTTTGCTAGATGACAAATAACTGTTTAGGTTGCTTCAGTGCACTGCAAAGTTTTATACACAGACACAAAAGCACACACACACACGCACACACAGGATTGTCGCGCAGGGTCCTAACAGGGCAACAATGTGTCTTCGTTTCCGTCATGGCTGCCATTTCCGGCTAACGAATTCTGGGGAGCTGCTCACGTGCCCATTTGTAAAAAGAAACAACCGAGTGTCCTTTAGCATGGAGGGATGACTAGAAGATGCCCTGCAGCTATAATTATCTAATATTAAGATACTATTTGTTATATTTAGTTATCATCTTTGTATTTGAGAAGGAGATAAACGAGACATATTAGATTGACTATAAGGGAAACTCTTCTGCACTATTGATCCTAATGAAGAATAGATACTATATTCCTATGAAGTTAAAAGTTCGTTACCGTCTGTCTCTGCTTGTTTGCGCATCTATGTGCTCCCTTTTGTTTAAACAATTTAATGGGTGTAGGGTATAAAAGGAAAATCCAGCAAATACCGCTATGAATGTGTAACTATCTGAATGTGTGTGAATGTGCTTCTGTGGGTGTGAGTGTGTGTTTCTGTGTGTGTGTCAGTAAATTGATTGAAATGGCTAGCAGCGAGTGCCTCCAGCATACACTGGGCCCAGCGGAAAAGCAACAATTTTGCTGGCGCTTCGTTTCATTTAGCCAGAATCTCTCTAGCTCATTTTCAGCCGCTTTTTGTATTTCTTTTTTTTCTTGGTATTACAGTTTATTGCTTGCTTCTTTGTGCTGATTGTCTGTTTGCTTTGTCGGCATTTTCTTACAATAAAAAAGAAAGCATACATATATTTTGTCCTGCTTTGACTTCCGTTTTGGCCTAAACCGCTGCCCAATTTTCATTATTGCCATGGCCTCTCGTTGCCGTTGTTGTTACTCAGTTTCCGTCTGGCCATTAAATGGCATCATTATCATCTCAACAGCTGCCGGACAAGGGCTAAACCATCAGCTCACCCGCTGGGAGGATTGAACTACGTTCCGTTCGGTATTCAGAATTACTTACATACGACCTACTATTTGACTGCTTAATTTGTTTGATATTTATGAGCTTTGATTGTTTTTCGTTGTTGTTGTTGTTGCTGTTGTAGTTTCGGCTTTGTTACAAAAGATTTGGCAAATTAATTGAGTTTGTTTTGTCAAATTTATGTTAACTGCAATACCCAACACAAGACTTAATTAGCAAAGGACCGCCTCAATGGTAGCTGCGACAACGGTCTGAACTGCTCGACTGTATTTTATGGATAAGCAACAAAATAAACAAAAATTATGTTAAAACTTTGCCGACTCCGCCCTCAACATGCAGAGATGGCAGCGGAAAACTCAATTGGAAAGTTTGTTGTTCATTTCCGTTCGCTGGGCGGACTGCAACCGGAAACGGGAGGTGTCGACCGGCAGGGAAATGCATTTGAATCTAATATGGCGTTCACTGTTCCGTTTTCAGCTCGACCCTGGACAAAGTTCGTGTTCGAGGCACGCCCGCTGACAGTCTCAACTATTGGCCCCAACGCAGCTGCTCGCGTAACTAGGCTACAACTGTGACTGCGACTGCGACTGCGACTGCAACTGCGACTGCGACTGTATACAATTATAGTTGCAGCAGCAGTTGTTGGTGCTGCGCTGCATAAATTAACTTTGTGTCTTTTTATTCGCTTTTAATTCACTTTTTATGCAGTTGCTGGCCGGGCAACGTAGTCGACGTTGTCTGGGTTGTTGGTTGTTAGCGCATCGTCGACGTCATTTAGCGCCTTGTCGACGCTTTGTTAATTCAAAAAGTTTTAATAATTTTACTTTTCAACAGGCGCGGAGCAACAGTGCCTGGCAAGCAGGCATGCAACAAGTGTGCATAGTGCGTCTGTGGATAGGATTTCCCTCTATCATATTTTCCCTCTTTCACTGTTTCTATTTTGCATAGCATTTGCCATTGCTTACTTTAAGAGAGAGAAAGAGAGCGATGTAGAGCAACTTTTAAATAATCACTTATGCAGCTTTCAAATTCTATAGCAGCAACTCATGAACATAATTCCTTGTGCTTGAACTATGTGCTTAAACGCACTTACAATTATTTACTTAATAAACTCCGTGGGTAACCTGGAAAATTAAAACATAGTATTGTTGTTGTTAGATTATGAACATCCACGCAAAGTTTTTCCCATTAGTTGTGTAGTAGTAAGTGGGTCTTGTCAAATTGGAGTTAATGAAAATGCCTGACAAATACTCCAGCTGACACGCTGATCCATAAATGCCAGGAGCTGACCACAGCAACGCCCTCTAGTTGGCCCCGTCCCCAGCCTCGGCCACGGTAGCCACTCAAGTTAATTCAATGCGAAGTCTCTCAAGCATACATACCTACTTACAAACACCTTCTCACTGTGGTGTGGTATAGTGTGGCAGCATCATAAAAGTGGCAACAGACACGGCACTTGAAAAACTCACATGGTCGAGCTGCAACTGGAGCGGGGCCAGAACTGGCAACAACAGCAGCAGCAGCTGCCCGACAGTGGTTGCCACATGTGTGCTATATGTCGCGCATTGCTGTTGTTGCTGATGCTTTTCTTGTATTTGTGTTTTGTTGCTCTTGCCATTTTTTATTTAGCTCATAGTTTGTGGAAGCTAGAGCAACAACAACTTGTTTGTGACAGCTGCCCGACCGAGTTCATTGCCGCTGCTCGTTATGAGCCCTTTTGATTACCATTATTTGGTTATGTGCATAAAACCATACATGTACATGCAAATATATTGGCCTGCATTTTGGAACGGATCAAAACTTGTTCATCAAATGGTCATTGATGAGTTGTTGCTGCCAACTCTGTTGGTAATTAGTCGCGCAAAACACAAAACTCAACTTCATAATTCAAATTTGGCAAACGAACGCACATTCAAACCGGCCTAATGCTAATTTATAGCGTTGTGGTTCAGTGGTTCAGTGGTTGAGTAGTTGAGTGGTAGGACTAGCTGGCTAGCTGACGGCGTGACAGTTTGCAGCGTGAGGTTCGTTACCATTGAAAATTGCACAATTTACAACTACAACGTCAGCAACGACTAGAGCGACAATTCAGCACATAAAGCACATCATGAGGCAATATATTAGAGTCCAAGTGCACACTTTCCGTCAGCAAACGAGCATTGCAGTACGGTGGGCGTGGCCATGTGACAGTGCCTTAACAACTCTCCGCACAGAGGCAATGGGGCGAATGAGTAACTGTAGCTGTAGCTCGGGCCAACGGCTTTTCTAATTATGTGCCACAAAGCGAGCAATGAAAATGTTGCACAATTCTTAAGAGTCCACCAGTCAGACATACAGACATACTATATATACATATGTACTTGCATGGTATGTATGTAGCTCAGATATCTTTTGGCTTATATTGTACTCTTTCAAAATATTTGCCAAATTGCTGAATAACCCACAAGGCAATGCCGAACTTTATCCAATTTATTAAGCATACACTTAAGGTCAAATTAATAAGTAGTACGTAACTTGCCTTTAAAATAAAATATTGAAATACTAATTAAAAACTATCATGAGAGTTCACTTTTATTAAGACTATAGCATAGTTAACATAGTTTAGATATAGTACATATAGTACAAGCTGACTGGAATAGATGATGAGTTGACCACAACAGTATTTGCTATAATATTAGAGAAAAGCTTGTAATATGTTTTGCTTAATTATATCTATCTAAAGAAAATAATAAAAAATATGTCTCAACTTAGCATTAATAGCCAACTATTTATTCACCACCTTCTATTTGATTTGTAAAAAACAGATTTATTCCCTTTTTATTACCAGCTTCTCCACTTCTTTTATCATTATTATATTATTTATATCAAAATGTCCCATTTACTGGGAAATAAATCTTTACAATAAGAGATATGCATGCAGCTGATGCTAATTTGATTATGCATTGATCAAAACACAAATTCACCTACACACACACTCACATATACACATATACATCCGTGCTATTGCTATTTTTGCAAGGCCTTTGCATATTAAGTACATGTTTTATCGTTTATTGCGCACACAGACAGGCATAAACGTATATTGCTTACATAATTTAACAAACATTTTCATTTGGCGGACTTGTGTGTCTTGCGAGCATTTACTTGCCCGGCCTGGGCTGGTCAAGTCGACGGCCCATGGATATACACATGGCTACACACATGCTCCACCAATGAGGCATGTTTAATGATTATTGCATTTCTTATTTTTATTTATATTTATTTATCTTGGGGTTGGCCGTGGGGTGCATAAAAATTTCGTTAGCCGCCGTTGGCTGCTTTTCCTCTCTTTTTTATACCCTAAACCCGTTAAAAATGGGTAAAAAGGGTATAAGGTTTTTGTGCAAATTTATGTAACACGCAGAAGGAAGCATATCCGACGCTAATCTAAATGAGGATGTAGAGTTGAATAAATCTAGCTATGCACGTTTGTGTGAATGTGTCGATCTCGGCGTTTAAAGCATAACTAAAAATTATTAGATCTATTTACATCAAAATTGGTGTGTAGTTTGTGGTATAGTATAGAAGAGACTACAAATATAACCCAAAGCTATGGTATACATACACATTTGGTTTTTATATTTATGGTCAAAAAGTTTCGTGAAATACCGGTGCTAATCAATGATCACCGTGTGTATTTAGTATATTATTCAGCATATATGTATAGAAGGAAGCTAGAATTTATGTAAAGGTGGCTTGGCACGAGGCTTAGCGTATTTTCTAGTCGTCTACTGCCAACTAGAGCATTCTTTAGTTGTTTCTTTTTTTGCTTTGGCTACTGTTTTTATGGCCATGAACGTGGCGGAGCCCAGGAGCAGTTATTTTTGGGGCATGTAGCTGTTGTTATTGGACGTAAGGTCCATTTGTTCTTTTGGCATTTAGAAGACAATGGGCATATTTTCGCTACTAAGCGGCTTAGCTCGTATCGCGGGAGTTACATACTGTCCTAAGCAGTATCCGTATTTATGGCTGTCTAATGTCTTGTTGCCATTTGTTGTGCACTTAAGCCAACATACGCTTTCATATGTTGGCCGGCTCTGGAATTGATGGGCTCATCAGCTGGGCTCCAGTTTTGTGGCACAATGAACTTCGAGGATATAAGCTGCTTGACCCAACTGTACACAGTCAAAGCTTGGCAGCTTGAAGTGCATGTCGCCAGCATCAGCAAATGAGCAAAAACTGCACATAAATGGCAAAACTTCCGCTTGAACATCAAAGACAGTGCCGGAAACAGCAAGCACTAGAAACTGGGTCTGTCCAAACATGTCGCCAGCTTGGTGGAACTCAAAATAAATGC